TACAACCGGTTTCCGAGCCACCCTTACGCCGTCTTTCTTCGCCCGGTGTGAAGAGGGAGGAGTCTCCCCCCCGTTCCTGACCGCCCTCTTTTTAGCTCCCTTTCCCCACTGTACAGTGGGGGCTGACCCACAGCATGCGAAACTTTGCTTGGTGATGGGGAAAACCAAAGGACAGGGGCAGGTTTGAGGAAACGTGATTTCAGTGGGGGTTGCTCCCCCGGGGCCCTGCCCAAATAAAAAGGTTGTGTCTGACGTACCCCCCGACCGTTTTGGGGTTTGGTGCAGAGGGACCTGGGGAAAAAAGGAAGACGACCGGCCCAACCCCAAACGATGACGGCAGGGTTGTTTGGGGGAGGCACGGAAACCCCTGGATGACACCGGGGGGCACGGCCTCTGGCTGCGATAGTGGGGCCTCGGGCCCCCCCTCTTTCTGCCCACGTTTTGTTTCCCCCTAAACATTGCCCTCCTCGGCCCTCCCCCTTTTCATGTTTTCTGACCTAGTGTCCCTCAGTAATGATTCTGTGTCCCTGAGTAACGATTCTGTGTCCCTGAGTAACGATTCTGTGTCCCTCAGTAACAATTCTGTGTCTGTCTCTGAGTAACAATTCTGTGTCTGTCTCTGAGTAACAATTCTGTGTCCCTCAGTAACAATTCTGTGTCCCTCAGTAACAATTCTGTGTCTGTCCCTGAGTAACAGTTCTGTGTCCCTGAGTAACAGTTCTGTGTCCCTGAGTAACAATTCTGTGTCCCTCAGTAACAATTCTGTGTCCCTCAGTAACAATTCTGTGTGTCCCTCAGTAACAATTCTGTGTCTGTCCCCTCAGTAACAATTCTGTGTCTGTCCCTCAGTAACAATTCTGTGTCTGTCCCTCAGTAACAATTCTGTGTCTGTCCCTCAGTAACAATTCTGTGTCTGTCCCTGAGTAACAATTCTGTGTCCCTCAGTAACAATTCTGTGTCTGTCCCTGAGTAACAATTCTGTGTCCCTGAGTAACAATTCTGTGTCCCTGAGTAACAATTCTGTGTCCTGAGTAACAGTTCTGTGTCCCTGAGTAACAGTTCTGTGTCCCTGAGTAACAATTCTGTGTCCCTCAGTAACAATTCTGTGTCCCTCAGTAACAATTCTGTGTCCCTCAGTAACAATTCTGTGTCTGTCCTGAGTAACAAATTCTGTGTCTGTCCCTGAGTAACAATTCTGTGTCTGTCCTGAGTAACAATTCTGTGTCCCTCAGTAACAATTCTGTGTCCCTCAGTAACAATTCTGTGTCTGTTCCTGAGTAACAATTCTGTGTCTGTCCCTGAGTAACAATTTCTGTGTCCCTCAGTAACAATTCTGTGTCCCTCAGTAACAATTCTGTGTCCCTGAGTAACGATTCTTTGTCCCTGAGTAACGATTCTGTGTCCCTGAGTAACGATTCTGTGTCCCTCAGTAACAATTCTGTGTCCCTCAGTAACAATTCGGTGTCTGTCCCTCAGTAACAATTCTGTGTCTGTCCCTGAGTAACAATTCTGTGTCTGTCCCTGAGTAACAATTCTGTGTCTGTCCCTGAGTAACAATTCTGTGTCCCTCAGTAACAATTCTGTGTCCCTCAGTAACAATTCTGTGTCCCTCAGTAACAATTCTGTGTCCCTCAGTAACAATTCTGTGTCTGTCCCTGAGTAACAATTCTGTGTCCTCAGTAACAATTCTGTGTCCCTCAGTAACAATTCTGTGTCCCTCAGTAACAATTCTGTGTCCCTCAGTAACAATTCTGTGTCCCTCAGTCCCTCAGTAAACAATTTTGTGTCTGTCCCTGAGTATCAATTCTGTGTCTGTCCCTGAGTAACAATTCTGTGTCTGTCCCTGAGTAACAATTCTGTGTCTGTCCCTGAGTAACAATTCTGTGTCCCTCAGTAACAATTCTGTGTCCCTGAGTAACAATTCTGTGTCCCTGAGTAACAGAACCAAATGCGATATCTCCTGCGCTCCGGGACCCAGACCGGTGGTAAGTAGATGGAATCAGACTCCAAAAAAGCAAGGAGGGGACCACCGAAATAGTTAAGGTCGTGCAGCTCCACATCAAGGCTGGGGAAGCCCAAACAGAACTGTGAGGAAGAACAAAAAAGAAAAAAGAAGCGCACCAACCTTGCGCATTACCTCAGTAACCAAAATTTATTAAATAAAAGAATGGTACTCACAAACAGCGAATAAAAACAGGCATGTCAGTCCTCAAAGGGACTTTTTAAAGGCTCTGAGGAAGAAGGCTTGTCCTTCGAAACGCGTCAGCTGTACTGAGTGGCTTCCTCCATGATGGGATTCGCATTTGCATCTTGCCTTTAAAGTCCCTTTGAGGACTGACATGCCTGTTTTTATTCGCTGTTTGTGAGTACCATTCTTTTATTTAATAAATTTTGGTTACTGAGGTAATGCGCAAGGTTGGTGCGCTTCTTTTTTCTTTTTTGTTCTTCCTCACATCCCTGAGTAACAGTTCTGTGTCCCTGAGTAACAATTCTGTGTCCCTGAGTAACAATTCTGTGTCCCTGAGTAACAATTCTGTGTCCCTCAGTAACAATTCTGTGTCTGTCCCTGAGTAACAATTCTGTGTCCCTCAGTAACAATTCTGTGTCTGTCCCTGAGTAACAGTTCTGTGTCCCTGAGTAACAATTCTGTGTCCCTGAGTAACAATTCTGTGTCCCTGAGTAACAATTCTGTGTCCCTCAGTAACAATCCTGTGTCCCTCAGTAACAATTCTGTGTCCCTCAGTAACAATTCTGTGTCTGTCCCTGAGTAACAATTCTGTGTCTGTCCCTGAGTAACAATTCTGTGTCTGTCCCTGAGTAACAATTCTGTGTCCCTCAGTAACAATTCTGTGTCCCTCAGTAACAATTCTGTGTCCCTCAGTAACATTTCTGTGTCCCTCAGTAACAATTCTATGTACCTCAGTAACAATTCTGTGTCCCTCAGTAAAAATTCTGTGTCTGTCCCTGAGTAACAATTCTGTGTCCCTCAGTAAAAATTCTGTGTCTGTCCCTGAGTAACAATTCTGTGTCTGTCCCTGAGTAACAATTCTGTGTCCCTAAGTAACGATTCTGTGTCCCTAAAGTATCTGTGGCCCTAACTCTGTCCTTAATACAGATAGGTCTGTCTCTGTTGAATGACCGGAGGCAAATGGAGAATTGTAAGATGGCCGCAATTTATAGCTCCACCATTACACAGTGCTGGCTGGCTGGCTGCTGATTGGCTAATGCGATCACATGTCATGAATGAATGCATTATGGGTCAGCGCGCCTTGTCTGCGCGCCTTCCCAGAGATCCCCGCTCCGTCGCCGCACATGTCGCCGCCATTTTTTTTGGACTGTTTATGAGTTCTTTCGCTGCAGGTATCTAGTTCCCTGCAGCTTTCTTTCCTAAAAAAGGAGAGGTGCCACTAAGATCTAATTCGGTATCGGGGGTGCCTTCATTCTCAAAGAAATTAGTTACACTTTCAACTGGGTATTCCATGTCCTCTGTACTACTATAAGTAGGTCCAATAGTCAGCTGTTTTCTTGTATGAGGATGACTTATTATTGGTTTGTTGAAAGAATGTAGGCCTATTTACACAACTATGTCTATAAATGACCTCACTGTTAGATGTGCAAGCTTCCTAATTTTTTATTCGTATTTTTCAAAGTTATTCCCTGTTTCTTAGAGATATATATGTGGGTTTTCCTTTTTGTTGGCCTTTAGGATTATTTTTTTTCTTATTCTCCCTAGAGTGTCCTCTGGGATGGTGATAGTTGTCCTTTTTTGTTTCTCATTTTCTTTATTGTTACTAGTATAATTGTTCTTATGGAGGTAACTGTTAAAGGTCCTTGTTTGGTGTGTATGTTTATAATTATTCCGGAATGTATGTGTTGGGTGGTCTTTATAGCTGTTTTTTGTTTTTGAGTGCCGGTTGTTAGTGGTCATAATCTCTGCCCCATCTGTAAAAATGATTTTATTTGTATTACTATCTTTAGCATAATATTGTTTTTTCTTTTTCCAAATAAATTCTCGACCATTTAGCTAGTCGGGTCTATCGCTCCCAAATTTCCCAGATGTTTTGTTAATCAAATTGATTTCAGAATCGACCAGTTGTTCATTGACCTTCTCATTCCATATATTAAAGGAGTCAAGGTCAGTGAATATGGTTAATTCCTGTATAGCAGTGATATCATGTCTGATTTTATTAAGATTATTCTCTCACTGTTGTATTATATATTGCACCCACATCCTACTACATTCTTGTAAGCATCTAATCCACTCTTCCTTTAAATCCTCATCTAAAAAGGAACAGACTTTAGTGATTCTCAGTCCTCTGGGGACTCTCTTAAATTCCAAATATTTCTGTAATAATAAAATATCCCACCATTGCGTCATCTCTTTTTCTATGCTTGTATGCTTGTATTTTCTACTACTGTTATTTACCTATGTGCCTTTTTCTTGAGGTGTTTTGATCCTCAAGAGGTTATACTGTTATTTCTGTCTATCCTTTAATAAAAAAATTAAAGGATAGACAGAAATAACAGTAATAACCTCTTGAGGATCAAAACACCTCAAGAAAAAGGCACATAGGTAAATAACAGTAGTAGAAAATACAAGCATAAAAAATATAAATGCACATACATGAATAAGGCAGTCAGTAAGAAATACAAAACAACCAAGTTGTTTACAAAGATTCAAAGCACATCAAACCATGATAGACTATCAGTCATAAAATAAATGCCGATATGTCTTCCAACCATCCCATTTTCTGTTGAACAAGTGCATCCTATCTAGCAGTGTATAGTTAATACGTTCCGTGAGCATAACCATGTCAACTCTCTGCAGGACAGAGGCCAAAGGAACCATTGGTGACTTCCAATGAAGGGCAATGGCCCATAAGGATGAGACACAAATCATGTGGATTAGCCTCACCTCATTGACAGGAACACCCAAAATAGGAGCACCCAATAAACAAATTTGCATAGACATAGTTAATGGAGTATCCGCCAAGGCAGAGGCCACCATCAAGATTCTATTCCAGATCAAGGAGACTAGGACAGGAGAGACTAGGACAAGCCCAAAACACATGCATAAGGGTTCCAGTGAGGCAGAGGTGCAATGTCCCTGGGGACATGATATGTAGTCTAGAGGGGGTATAATACCAATGAGTTAAAACTTTAAGGGCTGTCTCACAGAGCGAGAGCGATCTAGATCCCCTCCGTATATTATCCACCATCAGGGGCGGACTGACCATTTGGAAACTCGGGCACTGCCCGAGGGCCCGGGGTCAATAGGGGGCCCCATGAGATGCCCCTGGTACCTTTTTCATAGGCTTTTTTGTGTTTGGGCAAGGACAGAGGGGCCCCATGATCCCCTATTGCCCGGGGGCCCCATGAGTTGTCAGTCCGCCCCTGTCCACCATGGAATCCCAGTCCTCATCGGAGAAAGTAGCACCGCAATCTCCCTCCCATTTCTGTCTATACAAGGGGGGGAGTAGGGAAGGCATCCAAAAAGGAGCGATATAAATCTGAGATGAGACCCCTACATCTGGGAGAGTCACACGACTGATATGTTAAAAAAATGTGATCGTGGACTAATGTGTCAAACCAAAGTAAGAGTTAAAAAAGTGTCTTCTCTGTCAATATCGGTAATGTTCATGAAGCGGGATATCAAAAAGCCTACGTAACTTATCGAAGGAGATATAAGTTCCACCTCTCTGAAAATCAGAGTGATAAGGGCCCAAACATACCAGCAGGGAAAAATTTGCGAAGACGAGAACGCCGTGACGAAATTCAGGTCACCGAAAAACAATGAACCAGATGAATACGGGGAGATAAGACCCAATTTAGATTTATAGTGGGACCAGAGAGTCAAGGAATGACCAACAATCGAATTATAAGTCAACAACGAGCGAGGGGGAACATTTGTCCATAATAAACCCTGTAAATAAAACGGGCGTATTGATTGTCATTCAAATCTGACCCAAGGTATATGGGAATTAATAGTCGACCGGTGAGCTAGTTGAGATAATCGGGCTGCTAGGTAATAAAGCCAAAAGTTAGGGAGGCCTAAGCCCCCTGCTTGTTGCGATTTAAAGAGCACCGACGATGTAAAATGTGGACATCGATATTCTCCAAATGAAGTTATTTATAACGCGTTGAAAACGGTCCACGAATGTCTTAGAGATCGATATGGGGAGAGCTAGAAATAAATAAAGAAGTTTAGGTAAAACATTAATTTTTACGGTTGTGACTCTACCCAGAAATGAGATGGGACGCCCATGCCAAATCTTAAGCAAAGTATGAAGACGTCACTAAAGCAAATTTCTGCAACAGTGTAAACAAGTACGGCCAGAGGACACTATCAAAGGCCTTGTTAATATCTAAGCTCATCAAAAACACTTCTTTTGAGTGCAAGTTAGCATCTTGAATTATGTTCAATGTTATCAGTGATAAGCCTATCAGGGATA